AGAGGTGTCCGCCCCAACGGACTGAGAGATAACACTGTCAGACAACTTCGCTACCACATCGGATAACCAAAGCAAATCCGCGAGCGTCTTACTTCAGTTACGCAACCGGAATCGGGAAGAGACTCGTCCGAGAGGTTGCTTTCGGGAGAAGACTCCTGGTCTGACTGCTCCTGAGTAGCCAGCAGCCGCGAAAGTAGTGCTCCACTATGCCCTCGTGTCTGAACGTACGATGGAAATGTCTAAGCTTCCCGCAACGATGAGCTGACCCACCACTGTCGGGCTGCTTTGCGAGATAGAACCGACCTCCTTCTCAGTGTCAACAGTAGGACAACGATCGATGAGCCTGTTCAACGATGAATAATGAGACCAGTGAGACGAGTATTCGGTACTTAGTCTCGACTTCCAGTAATTCGGCTTTTATTTCATCGATCCACGTCTCCATTTTCGACACCAGCTCTGGAGTTTCCAACAAGCTCGTACTACCTTGTCTGTCCGTAAGGGTCCCTCTAGCCCGTCTCTCGACTGCTGAGGCTGATATGCGATGTTCGCGCGTCCTACTGACGCCTGGAACTGAAGCAGATGCGAAGGTTTCCTATGAATCTATCACCTCGTGCCAGTGTCTCGGTCTCTAGCCTATCCTGAACAGGTACTTTAACAGGCACCATCCCTAGACCCACAGACTGAGTAACATTGAGGAGAGTGTAGTAGGCTCACTGTTCCTTCTATCCCGCGCTAGTCTAGCCCGATTCACGGCAGTCTCGAAACCCTTCTTCATGCGAGGGCTGAATTCGGAGAGGCCTTGCGACCCTAGTGATCCAGTCGAACTTCGCCTGTAATTAACGTAACACCACATGTCAGCGCGCCTTACGATACCTCTTTCCACTAGAGAAGAACTTCGGGTTCGGTGGAGCGAACATTGAATACAACAGGTAACCATCCTGCAATGAGCCATAGAGGTCATCAGCGTCAATCTCCCTCCCGTCTATGAATCGAGTGCGACATACTCGCGTGTATTCAATGAAACTCAGTCTCAAGGCAACATATCTGCCCCGGGAAGATTCTGCTTCGCTAACAGCGAATTTGACAACCCCAATTCGTCAAAATTGAAGTTATTTGGGAAGTTAGTTACCCACGTATCTAGCGAGTCGAATCCATCGAGAGTTTAATGGTATGGCATATCTGCCCCTCGGGCGGATTCGGTTCCACTAACAGCAAAGCTGATGACCACAACTCGTCAGAAGTGAAGTTCCTTGGGAAGCTAGTTACCCACGTATCTAAGGAGTCGATTGCCTCGAGAGTTTCATAGCATGGCATATCTGCCCCTCGAGCAGATTCGGTTTCACTAACAGCGAAGCTGATGACCATAATTCGTCAGCATTAAACTCCAAGGAAAAGTTAGTTACCCGCGTATCTAAGGAGTCGATTGCTTGGAGAATTTCATGGTGTGGCATATCTGCCCCTTGAGCAGATTTGGCTTCACTAACAGCAACGTTGGTGCCGATAGTTCGTCAGAATTCAAGTTACTTGAGAAGTTTGTTACTCGCGTATCTAAGGACTCGATTGCATCAAGAGCTCCATGGTATGGCATATCCGCCCCCCCCCGCCCCCCTCGAGCAGATTTGGCTTCACAAACAGCAAAATCAGTGCCCATAGTTCGTCAAAATTTCAAGTTACTTGGGAAGTTAGTTACCCATACATTTACCGAGGTAAATGGAGTAAAGAGTTCCATGCGGTGGCATATCTGCCCCAGCGAAGAACTTGATTGTTATGAGCAATATATGCCTTTAAAAGGTGTAGCTGTAAAAAATACTCTCAAAGAATTATCAGCTCGCCCCTTCCAGCCAAACGAGTTCACGATAAACACGTCGAATATTAGGCGGAAGGGGTCGCTCGGCCCTGGAAAGAAGAGTAGTTGATCGGTTTTTCAGTACCCTACCGTAATCCATTATGCTCTCGGCACGGGACCCTCCACGCACGAGTCCAATGATATTGAGGAAGCGCGAGACTGCAAGATTTAGCGAAGCTATATGAGTCGCAGCTTGTTTTTCTGGGTGCAGTAGTGGCATGTGTGATCTGGGAAGGAATGGGGTAGATGAACGAGTATCATTTCGCAATTGGAAGAAGGGCAGTCGGGTAGCTTGTCACAACAGTTATCTCGTTCCTATTCTCTATGAGTCCCGAGTCGAAGTTTTTCGACAAGTACGCCCCCCTCTTCCAGACACACGCCAACGGCGAGGTAGAGTTTCGTTTTTTTCGAGCACATCTTTTGTGAAATATCGTATTTAGTGATGGAATGGTCTTCTCTGATATGTGGTTATGTGACTGTTGTTGCTATGTCAGGAGCCTGAGTATGAACTCCTTTCGAAGGAGGGTGTCTCCGTGGTTAAGGGACCTGATGGACTCGACTTCCTCAAGGTACGGAAATCTTCGAATGTTTCATTGAGCTGGATTGGCGGTATACCTTTGATACTTGGAGTTAGTTTATCTTTATCATTCCACTTTTCAGGTTGACCCTGAGGCTATTGCCAAGCTCACCCAGACCTGTATCAAGGATGTTGAGCATTACTTCAGAAGCGCCCACCTCGCGCAGGTCCAGAAGATCCTCAAGGACCCCGAGGCTTCTGCCAACGATCGCTTCGTTGCTCTCGAGTTGCTGAAGAATGCCTGCATCTCTGCTGGTCTCGTCCTCCCCTCCTGCCAGGATACTGGTACCGCCTGCGTATACGGTTACCGGGGTGAGCGTGTTCTAACCGGTGGTGTTGATGAGGAGGCCATCACCAAGGGTGTCTATAATGCTTACACCCAAGACAACCTCCGTTACTCCCAGGTCGCCCCCTTAAGCATGTTCGAGGAGAAGAACACTGGTTGCAACTTGCCCGCTCAGATCGAACTCTACGCCGGTCATCCTGGTGATGAGCTCGCCTATAAATTCCATGTCATTGCTAAGGGTGGTGGATCTGCCAACAAGTTCCAACTCTTCCAGAAGACCAAGGCCTTCCTTAAGGAGAAGGAGTTTGAGAGTTTCCTCATGAAGGAGATTGCTCACTTCGGTACCTCTGCTTGCCCTCCTTATCATATCGCTGTTGTCATTGGCGGTCAGTCTGCCGACCAGACCATGAAAACTGTGAAGTTGGCATCCACTAAGTACTACGATGGTCTTCCTACCAGCGGGGATTCCACCGGCCGTGCCTTCCGTGACCTCTACTGGGAGGAGAGGCTTCTCAAGAACTGTCAGGAGCTTGGTATCGGTGCTCAATTCGGCGGTAAGTATTTCGCCCACGATGTTCGTGTTGTCCGTCTCCCTCGTCACGGTGCTTCTTGCCCTGTTGGCCTCGGTGTCAGCTGCTCGGCTGATCGTCAGTGCCTCGCTAAGATCACCCCTGAAGGTGTCTTTATCGAGAAGCTCGAGAAGAACCCCGCCAAGTACATGCCTGATTTCGTTGGTGAAGGGGATGAGGCCGTGAAGATCGATTTGAACTTGCCCCAGAAGGAGGCTCTTGCTACCTTGAGCAAGTACCCTGTCAAGACTCGCGTGGCCCTCACTGGTACCATCATCGTTGCTCGTGATATCGCTCATGCCAAAATGATGGAGATGCTCGAGAGCGGTAAAGGTCTTCCCGACTACATCAAGAAGTATCCCGTGTACTACGCCGGCCCCGCCAAGAAGCCCGATGGAAAGCCTTCCGGTTCCTTCGGACCCACTACTTCCAACCGTATGGACCCCTATGTTGAGCCTTTCCAAGCCAACGGTGGCTCCATGATCATGATCGGTAAGGGTAACCGTAGCGATATGGTGACTGAGGCATGCAAGAAGAACGGTGGTTTCTATCTCGGCTCCATCGGTGGTGTCGCTGCCATCCTCGCCGATAAGAGCATCAAGAAGGTCGAGTGCCTCGATATGGAGGACCTCGGTATGGAGGCTGTGTGGAAGATCGATGTCGTCGACTTCCCTGCTTTCATCATTGTTGATGATAAGGGCAACGACTTCTTCAAGATGGGCAACGCTAGCGAACAGAAGATGGCTTTCTCCCACTAGGTCGTTTGCATGCAGTTAAGCGCGTCAGTTTGACTATTAGCGAATAGATGGTATTTCCCTGACAGATTTCGCGCGTGCTCTTCATTGCGAAGATCGATGTGATCTATTTAGCCGTCCATCATTCATAATTGTCGGTAAGGCACTTTCCTGTTCATAACATTGATACTGAAAAGTATCGCGTTTCGATGGTTCATGTCGGGTTGTTCATCAAGTGGGAGGTGGTTGATCTTCGGAGTGCTTGGGTCGTGTGCTGATCCTGAATCGAGTCGTGAGCCAGAGTATTTGCTGAGTTGAAAAATCTAGGGATGAGTATTTACCCCCAATGATTCACGGTTTGAATGAGACATTCTTCACGAGATGAAGGCTGATTGAATTCAGGGATCATGGAATTTGTTCGTGATTCCGTTATCCGGCTCTGCCTCAATTACTCTTACGAAAAAATCTCAATGCTTGCTCATGAACAGGTTATTGGAATTAGTACTCTCGATCAAGGTGCGCTTTGAATAGAAAGTTCTCTCTTAACATGAAGTTCATACTATGTCTCCGTGAGGAAGGGCTCGCTTAGTGCTCATCTACTGCTAAGGAAGTGGGATGATAATGATCATCAGTCTGATTAGTCCGATCCTGTAGAGGGCCTATTTGGAGCGATTCACACTGTATTCGACAGTTGAACTTCAACTTCTATGAATTTTACCGATGTCGGGCAGCAGGATAATATCGATTCAGAGGATTCTGGAACGCGTGGCTGGTAGCTACTGGCTACTCAAGTGATCCCAGGCACCTAATTGGAACTACTGGATCTCGGATATCATCACATCGTGTCGGAATCCTACTCCTAGTGCCAACAGCTACGAGACTCACCTCTCATGGACCAACAACGCGACAAAACTCTCAAAGGAATGGAAAGTAGAAACAACAGCGGACACCGAGTCTATCATTCTATCTCAGAATGGGGAACTCTCCTCTAAGGAGACCACTGCTCAGCATCCGTCCAATCCTTCCCGACATAAGCCTTCACCCAGGTGGGCTTCGACGTTTCCATGTCCTTGCGATCAACGAGGAGGGCATTGAGGGACTTGTCAATCTCGTCACCCATATGTTCCTGAATCCTCTGGCCAATCACAACCAACTTGTTAACTTTGCTGGCCATCTCGGACGGACAATCCGTTTCGACCAATTGAAAGGACTTCTCAACACCCTGCAGTAGATACCTCTTTCCATCGCCAGCAATCAGCATGCCCTTGACCCGAAACACCCTGTTGTTCTCGACAAAATCTTGCAGCCATGCACGGAACTTTTCAATATCTATCGCTACTCCTTTTGAGGCTGGATATGGTCCGCTCAGAGCACAGCTACAAACACCATCACGCCAGGGCTTATGCTGAGGCACATCATTGAGATCGCCGGGACTCGTATAAGTATCGCCTTGAGATCGCAGGACTTCTTCCATAGAGATGTCAGAGTGGACCGTGTGTACTAACCGGCACACTGGATTGATAGACCGGATCGTATCCTCTATCTGTGCGGCAGTCTGGTCGTCAACCAAATCACATTTGTTAATGATCACAAGGTCCGCGAACACCAGTTGTTGGACGAGCTCGGAGCTCCGAGGGTCTGTCACTCGCTTGTACTGTTCGATGAAGTTAGATGCATCGACAAGCGTAACGACTTTACGGAGAACAATGCCCTCAGGAGGCTGTGCCACGAGGCCTTGAACAACTGGTCCGGGAGTAGCCAAACCGGTCGTTTCCAGAATAATCTGAACAAACAGCAGTGACCGAAGCGATCAAGTAGGGGAACGATCTCAGTATTCACAATGCTCTCACATACGTGAACTAACCGCGACGAGAGAAGCTAATGATTTCCTTACTCCGTTGACAGGATCATCACTAGGAGCTGCTAGAGCCTTCTTCCCTAGACCTTCTAGCTTCGCCATCAAGTCGTTCCTCAGATTACAGCAGAGGCAACCACCGCCGAGCTCGTACACAGTAGAACAGTCCCCACTGCTGCCACTCGCATAATTGTCCGGTAGTTCACTGAAAAGAGCAAAGCTCGTTCGGCTCAGTCCTCTCACATGTACCGGGGGAGACCCACTGTACGTTACCTCACACTGATGCCACCGATCTCATTATTCAACACGAAGAATCGACCCTTGCTTTCTCGGAGCATCCGAGACACTAACGTGGTCTTGCCTGAGCCGAGAAACCCCGTAAGGATCCACAACGGCGTCGTCGATTGGGCGCTTTTATCAGTCATAGATGGTTTAACAAATTCTGCCACAAAACTATACATCGAAGCGGTAACGCATGCGTACAAAAACCACTCAGCGAACCTCACATATTCCTCCCACTCGCAACACAAAGCCATGTAGGTATAACGCCAGGATTGCATTCACAATCACAGATCATGCTCAGCTAACACGATCCCTCAATAGTGAGTTCATGAGCAGCGTTCTTTGCTCCGATAACCACTTATTGAACGTTTTGGAGGTCTCTTGGAAATGCTTCATCATTTCTTTGTCCGCCTTGACTATTCGACTGTGCAAAATGTCCGCCTGAAAAAGCTGTTAGTGAAGCGTGTAGAGGACAACGACGACCCAATGGGGGACAGTTCTTGTGTCGCATGATAGACACTCCGACACATATTTCGTGACGACTTTCACTTCGATAGCATTCTATATAGGTGCACAACGTCTGCTGAGCGAAACCTCTGAGAAAACTTACCCTATTTGGACCCTGTTCTTGTATCCGTTTTTCATCCTTCTCGCGAGCATCAAGGACACCCTTAATATCATCTCGTTCAGCCCTCATCCTACAAAAGAGGGAGACTCGATGATTCAACTTCCACCCAGTCTAACCGTTTCATTGTTTCACCAACTTCATCCACCATAGTATCGTTGGTCGTACTCAGTTCGGCCTTGTACGCTGCTGTCATCTGAACAAATACGGCTTTGATCCTCAACTGGAGAGGCGCCGCCAGCCTACGTTGCTTCCCACTCGAGCAATCTCCTGCTCGATGGCAGAGAGCTCCTCCGAGATCTCCTCTTGTTGCCGAGGATCTCTAGCCATACGAGCTACCTCCTGTATTCTCTCCTTAGCAAACTTAACAGCGTCGTCAACATTCATGCTGTTATTGATGTTCGAGGATGCGGACCGAACTCGACTTTCAAACGTACTGCCGAAGACACCAAACTGCATCAGAGATCGCCCCCCTCCCCCGACTTACCCCAACGACGAAGCTATCTGCCTCTCCAACTCGCGAGTCTGGGCCTCCTCACGAGCCATACTCAATTGATATCCGACTATTTGTCTCCGCTGGTCCTCGAGCTCATGGCCCCTCTTGGTGAGCACGTCCACAGCATAGGTCTGAGCGTCTGCCAGACGCTTACCCAACTCACCCGCTTCCTCCTCAATGGACTGAATAGCAACGATAATTCTCATATACTTACTCATCCAACCACGGCCTACTGCATTAGCAATCTCATGATGGATTCGTCGATGGTCCTCTTCCAGACTCCTCCTCGTCTCCTCCTTCATTGCTCCAATATCGAGCTCCAACTTCGATGCTTCTTCAGTAGCGTTGGCCACTCGCGACCTCATCTGCAACAGTCCATATCGATTTCCCCAGCCGCTCAGCCAGGTGCGGTACGATCTCCCCTTACTTCCTTCGACATTCGAGCTGCCTCCTCATCTTCACCACTACTCAGCAGCTCCATATTGTTCTTTAACATTCTCAACGTGTTCTGCATCCGCTCCAACGTCTCTCCCAGCTGTGCAGACCCTGCAGCTCGAATCGAGGGCCAGCACTATACACCCATAGACCCACCAGCGTGATCCTTGGCATCGATCGTGTCCAGCCCCTGGAGCTCCTTTTCCTCCGCCCCAAGGACCCCAACTTTCAGCCCTCTGATTTTCCCAACCTCCGACTCCTTCCTATGCTGCATTTCAGCTCTCGTCGAGGACTCCATCTGAAAGGAGTTCACCAAGTCTATGCTGCCGCTTTCGAGCCTCACCGTTTGGAGGGCCTTCTCGAGAGACACTAATAGTCCTCCGGCGAACTCCTTCAACTCTCCCACCTGTGGGCCCTTAACCTGACAAGACTTCCTTGTACACCATGCGTGAATCTGTCAACATGCATTTCGAGAGCGTGAAACTCAACGATTATTCCACTTCTTCTTGCACAGCACCCCTTCGACAAGGCGAGTAACAGCCAGCATAGAGGTATAGCTGCAGGCTCAGTCACTGCTGCCTGAGCCCTGGTATGAACGGATGGACAGTGTGATTATGATTATTCCACTAAGAACAGCGCTATTTCTCAGAGAAGGATTTCCTCGGACCACCCGTAATACCTGTTGGATCTCTCCCTCTATAGTCTGCTGAAAGCTCAGTAAGTTCTTTTCTTGCTCCATCTCGCTACTGCCCAACATATTAGCTACTTCCATCGGGGCGCTCTCTTTAAAGGTCTAACAATCATGATTCCTCTACTAACGAGCAGTCCCTGCTTACTCCAGCGACGAGGAGCTTCAATCGGTTCATATCCTCAGCGGCCTCCGGCATCTTCAGGAGCTTTCCGAGGGAGTCCACCGTTTTCCTTGTTGTCTCCTCCGCATCCTCCATCTCGCTCGTTGCTGCTGTAAGCCGATTCACTTCCCGTCCATTCGCTTGCTCGTCCGATCGAACCTGCACAAAGGAGTTTCACCCGTGATACGACTAAAAACAATAGTGACAAACATACTCCATATTTCACTTGATGAAAACAATTGTGTCATCGGTTGTGAAAGTCCAATGTAGATGAGGTCAGAAATCAAAAAGTGTCATTCATGTTCAAATCTCATAATAACGGTGTACGATGTGATTTGATGCTTATGAGCAAAAACTTGACTCTCACGAAAAACGGCTGCAACTCCAATGGAAGTGACATACTCCCATTCACTCACCCATTCATCCAGCCCCCTCGTTGAGTTCAGTAGCATCCTTACCATGTTGCCTTCAATACCAACAACCAACGCCCGAGGGTCCAAACCGAGATCAGCCGAAACCGCCTTTGCCAAGCTACGGTCTATCCTCCTTTTAACGACGGCCCATCGTGCCTGCATCATCATAGTAGCAACCAGTGTGGGGAAATGTGCACATGACCAACTAAATGTCATAAATACAATGAAGAAAAATCTCAGGAAATTTTGGGATTTTTTTTGCTTTCTGAACACTTCTACCGCGAGTCGTACGAAGATTTCTACTATTAGTGAGGAGACTCCTCAATTCAGCTGAGGGGCGCGAATTTATATTCCTATACTGCTATCAACAGATGTAGGGCAATGCTGACAGGAGAAGGTTCTCCCCCTAGTGTTGACTTACCGTTAGATTGGCTGATTCTTGTGCCAACAGTTGGCGTCTCGACTTCAATTCTTCAGCCGCTTGCGCGAATTCACCAGCGATCATCCCAAGAATGCCCTGAGCAGCTCAGGTCCACCGTAACGACGCTTTCAGTTGAACTCACTATTGCATGACCGGAGACACTTTTGAGTGACTCAGTAGACCTGGCCACCTCTCCTTCGACGATGTGGTCACTCTCAGATTTAATTTTCGAGATGTCATCGCTGAGATTCGAACCTGCGCCCTCCGCCGCACCCTTCATCGCTATCTGAAACGAGGTGCAACTATCAGCGAGAGAGGAAGCAACATGCAATTTCCTGCAGTGATTACCTTCACTTTTCCAATTGTCGCATCAAAGCTATCGCGCAACGCATCGAGCGCCTTGCCCGCTGCTCCACTAGAGTTACCAATCTCCTCTCTCATCTTGCGCTTGTTACTCTCCATCTCAAGTAGCTTACCCCGAGCCGCCTTCACCCCTGCCAACGGTATATTCGCCAACACGAATGCATCTACTCCTACTTTTCATAACCGTTGCCAGCTTATCGCCATCAGTCGAGATAGCTCGATGAGCTTCTTCATCGCTCCTATGGTACTGGCCTTCAAGGGACGACATTCTGAAAAAAAACTCTTCCATGGCTCTACCACGATATACGATGGTCCTCACAGCGATGTCATGTTATTCGCAATCTCTGCAAGCTCAGCAGCCAGCTCTCGTTGAGCAGCATCATCAAACTCCGCGACTTTGGCCATCATTGTGGCTTCGTTGGCGTTGACCAAAGCAGCAGACCGGCGAGCCTCCTCTCTGAATCTAGTCTCATCCTCTCCAACAGTCTGAACGAAAATCAGAGATGCCCTGAGATTACATACCGAGAA